TCATTATATTGATTCGGCGTAGGTGCAAATTGTCAGTGATTTAGCGAGCGCGCCGCTTCCTCGTATAATTTGATACGCTTGAATCGCCTGTCTTGCGCGCATGCCACATTGGTGGCACAACAGCCTCGATAGCGGAGCGCTTGATAAGCGCCGCTTTCACGCCCCGAGCGGGTAATGCTGCTCTTATGCACATAATGACAGCGCTGTGTGCCCGATATACAAACAAACACTCACATGTATGTATGCACACATACAAAGACAAATATCCCCGTATAGTCTGTAACATACTGTTGGAGCAAGTGCTGTTAGCAAGCACCTATTAGGGCTGGCATTGCACATGAGGGGGTGGGTGACCAGCACCATGCCCGGCCGCCTTTATCTCTCTAGGTTTTCATTTGTGGCTGAGTCAACCTAAGGGATGCACGGGACTGGTTCAGATAATCGTCACTGGGGTTGTCAATGAGTGAGAATCGAACTCAGATTGCACGACCTCTACCCCTAAACACACACACATATACTTATATACGTATGTGTGTACAGCCATATATACAGGTGCACACAAATACACTCACGAGCACAAGTACTTGCACATACATTCAGACAACGATACATACATTTACACACATATGCACATACATGCAAACAATTTATGCACAGAAACACATACACACATGCGTACACACAGATACACATTTAAGCATACACATAAACACATTATTTTAAACTGAAGCCCATTCACCCATTGCCTGTTACGAAAATTACTGTTGTGGACAACAGTAGGCTATTCACAAATAAATATATAACGGCTACACTCAATTTTCTCTAAATTCAGCTGGTCCACCTGCATTTAGCTTCCGTGCCTTCATGTAACTTCGCGATATTTGTTTTAAGGACTTGTCTGTCTGATGTCAAAAGATCCTCAGCAATGTACGTCCAACCCAAGAGAAACTCAAGAAATAATGCACAAAATGTATAAAGTGCTGCTGTGATGGATTTTTGGTAATACTGTAATATAAATAATAAACAGACTGTTGTCTGTTTGGCCTGTGACCAAACCACCCGAAATGCACCCAGTCTCATCAGGTGTCGGAAGCTAAGTAGGCATTGAGCCTGGATAGTGCTTCGACGGGAGACCATCACGCACGCACAAACACTATACCATAGGCGACTGCAGGGTTGTGCTACGTGTGGGTCGCACAGGGTACAGTAAAAAAAAATCCATTGCTGTCATTCTGTGTTCCTCGCGGGTCACCAACCCGTACTGCCCAGTGTGGAAGTATGGTCATATATCTTCTTTGGTTCTTTCGGTAAAGTCACGTAGAATGAGAATAAAATAATAAATTGATAAAATGAAATAACAATATTCTCACGACGTTTATTTTATAAATTTATTATTTTATTCTCATTCTACGTGACTTTACCGAAAGAACCAAAGAAGATGAATCCTTGCAGTCACGAAAGCTTTAAATCTAAATATGGTCTTATAGCTCCCCCGTAACTGGCACACAGTGGGGGGAGGCCCTAATTCATATGTGGATTGAAATAATAGCTGTATCTATGAATGTACATGTGTATTTTATTTATTTAATCCCCCCCCCCCCCCAATTAATGGCTCTGTTGAAGAGTGTTACGTACGTATGATAACAGTAACCAAATAATACACCAATCCTAGTGGAAGGCGTATTTAAGGCCATTAAAAAAATGACTGCTAAGTATTTGCATTCTAATTGCAATCACCATTGCTAATGAGAAGTGTTGTTTCAATGGGTTCTCGCCTGCCTTAAATAATGGAAATAAATCCATATATCCAATTTTATCAAGGTGATCTCTTTATTGGTTCACTGATTACAGTATTGCACTCTAGTAGGCAGTATATCTGATAAACTGTGTATACACACATTATGCAGGGAGTGGTGGCGTATAGGTTAGTGCACTGAGAAGACAAAGGTGGTCGAGCCTGGTCTTGGGCCCTCGTGCGCTGTGCTAGCCTTAATAGGTATTCACTAAGAGCACTTGCCACAAAAGTCTTTGTTAGCTATATGGGGATCTTGGTCTTTGTATATGTAACAGCTTGCTGGGACTCGGAGGCGATGTAGAGACAACACCGTTTATTAACCCTTAAACCCCCGTTACAGCTTCGCACTCGAAGAGCTAACGGCCTCTCCACCCGTTGCTCTCAGGGGAGGTATTCCCCAGCTAAACTTCGCCTACTCCCTAGCTATACCTCGGCCCTCTTCTAAGGGAGGCTAGCTGACCTGGCCCAGCCAAGGTGCAGGTCTCGGCCACCAGCCACACGGACCCGGCCCTTAGAAGGACGTCGGGCTCCGAGGCTCTGGGGTCATACCACTGGCTTGCTATTCCCGTCCCTTACAAGGACAGCGGGTTTGAGGAGTCCCAGGTTGTCTAGCTAGCTGGACTTCGATCTTCAACTGGTTCTTCTGGCTTCGGCTTGTTGAAGATCCCCTCTCTCTCGGGTCCCCATCTTTTATCTAATTCCCTACCGAGGGGCGGGGTTCTGTGGGATCCTAGTACACTCCTCAGCCTCCACCCGTTGGGAGGGGCGCGGGGGATCCAAACATCCGCCAGCCCCCTCCCCCCCTGGAGGTGCCGGCTAGGGATATGACGATCGCCCCGTACGTCTCAATAGCACCGTTACATATATACAGTACAGTATATATTTAAGGGAATATCAGAGTCTCTCCCTGGAGGTCAGAGATACTGAGCTGGTACCACAGATCATGGATTCAAATACAGGTGTCAGCCACCCATGAGTAAGCTTGGTTCCTGAATAAATTGGGTTCATTTTGTCACGTGATGGTTATTGGGTGGCGGAAGGGTGAGGGGCGATGATGTGGGGGGTGGGTGGAGGGGTTAAGCGTAAGTGTTTTGATCTGCGGCCCGTTCAGCAGCGGCGTTTGATTAGGGGTTAGAGTTCATTACGTGGCGGGGTTCGCTAAACGTCTGTTTGCCCGTGGCTTTGTTTGTCCCCCATGAGTAGCGTTACATTTGTCATTTAATTCAGGCACGGCCATGGTCCATGGAGGAGAAGGAGCGAAGGGTGAATGAGGAAGTTGGGTAGGGGAGTGGCGGCAACGAATTAACTCGAGCTTAAATCCATTGGGGTTGGAGCAGTGGGAGCAGTGGTCGGGTGTATCGTGATCTGCACTATGAACCCGAAGACTCAGTTTAAATTCCTGGCCATAGCTTTAGTGGAAAGTGATATCACAACCAGTTCTGATGCCCCCCTGCACCAACTCGTCCGCTCGACTTCACAAACCTGCATTGACCAGAATGGTGAAGTATGGTGAAAAAATACCCTAATGGTCAACATAATGTGGGGGAGACCCTCATTTGGAATGACTGGAATTTATTTGTTTGTTTAAAAATCCTTTGGGCGTTTGTGGGTAGTACTCTTTACGTTTATGCAAGTGGTCATGATGGTGATGTACATGTACATTTATTTTGTTGTCAATCCACTGCTGGATGAGGACCTACCCATGTTGTGCGGCTTGTGGGGGGTTATTTAATCGTAGGTCACCACACTGATTAGTATGGGTTGGTGACCGTGTGGAGCACAGGCATGGGAGCACAGCATGACAGTACAACAATGGATTGTTTTGTCACAATGGAGTCCGCATTACAATGTCAAACTCAAGTGAAAGTGTATTTGTATCTCAAATGAGAATTTCAAAATTCCATTCAAAAAATTATTTCCCGAGTAAAGCTTATTTGAGCCACCCAACTCTTTTTTTTTCAAGCCTAACTTGGCCACCAGACAGACAACAGTGGCAGCAAAGTGTTATTATTCATAATTTATTATTGGGTCAGATCGCGTAAATAAAATGTGTGTTGTAAACCCTCATCCACCCAACACAGCCATGTAATAAGGTTGTCATGTGACAATTATAAATCATAATATTGTACTGCGAATGCCTATGAGTTAAAAGTGTTACATGTTACAAGTTATACATGCTTTCAAAAAATAAAAGTATAACAATATTATCCTAAACGTAAACATTTCCACAATTATCTACATTCACAGTGCTCATCTCCACTGAAAGTTATGGGAAATTTGTGGAAATTCCACATTCCTCTGCTGGAGACCAGTGTCTCTATAAAATAAATATTTCCCTTTATCCAGGAAAGCTTTGCTGGTTGAAGCTTTTAAACTTTTTTTTTTTAGGATGGTCCTGCTACGTTGGTATATTTGGCCATTCCATTAATGAGCGTTTGACCTCATGTGGCAGGAAACTGGAGAACTCGGAGAAAACTCACACTGCATTTGATGGGGGTAACCCACATAGTGAAACAATCCGTTGCTTTACGGCCATCATCTGCAAAGAGCAACACATATATTGCTATTTTCTTTCTTTCAATAAAGCATAATTTGTCTAGTTGGTTGAGAGCCCGAGACAGACTATAGGGGAGATTCGGATTAATATATATAAACAAGGGTACGTTGTACACTTTAAACTCAAATCAAATACAATAAAAAATATTAAATAGACAGGCATCATGGATAACCAGGTAAGAACCCACCAGGACTTCAAATGTGTCAGTTGTTAATGAGTGATATTATTAGCGAGGGGAGCCGCCAGCAGGGCTCAATTTCAGGCTTGTTTGTCCAGGTTGGCAACCAAGAAAATATTTTCACGCTCGGCACACCGCATCCAGTTTACTCTTTACTATGGCTGTGGATTAAATGTATTTGTGAACGAGGTGAATACTCAAGAAACCAAAATAGTTTATTTTGCAAAAGAGACCTGGTATACTGATAATCACATGCCTCCTACTCTAGTTTACCAGCGACCTGAAAAACGATGATCACACCACATCCAGTATGCCTTTTGCTTTGGCTACTAATAGTCACTCACCACCTACTCTAGTCTCCCAGCGACCTGGGAAATATTCATTGAAAAATTAAGCCATGGCCACAGCCGTCACCGCCGCTGCCAATTTGCCGATGGTTGCTGACTCGTCGTCGTTGTTTCGCTTTGCAGGGACTCCTGAGCTGAGCGCCACGGAGAAGAAGGAGCTGGAGGGGAAGCTGAAGGAGCGCGAGGAGTTCCTGTTGCCCATCTACCACCAGGTGGCCGTCAAGTTTGCCGACCTGCACGACACGCCGGGACGCATGCACGAGAAGGGAGCCATCACGGTGAGTGCACCGCACACCGCACAGCCCCGCAGAGAACCCCACCACCCGCCACGCAGCACAGAACCATACCGCACTGCAGTGCAACAACACGGCATAGAACCACACAACGCCACGCAGCACAGAACCATACCGCACTGCAGTGCAACAACACGGCATAGAACCACACAACGCCACGCAGCACAGAACCATACCGCACTGCAGTGCAACAGCACGGCATAGAACCACACAACGCCACGCAGCACAGAACCATACCGCACTGCAGTGCAACAACACGGCATAGAACCACACAACGCCACGCAGCACAGAACCATACCGCACTGCAGTGCAACAACACGGCATAGACCCACACAACGCCACGCAGCACAGAACCATACCGCACTGCAGTGCAACAACACGGCATAGAACCACACAACGCCACGCAGCACAGAACCATACCGCACTGCAGTGCAACAACACGGCATAGAACCACACAACGCCATGCAGCACAGAACCATACCGCACTGCAGTGCAACAACACGGCATAGAACCACACAACGCCACGCAGCACAGAACCATACCGCACTGCAGTGCAACAACACGGCATAGAACCACACAACGCCACGCAGCACAGAACCATACCGCACTGCAGTGCAACAACACGGCATAGAACCACACAACGCCACGCAGCACAGAACCATACCGCACTGCAGTGCAACAACACGGCATAGAACCACACAACGCCACGCAGCACAGAACCATACCGCACTGCAGTGCAACAACACGGCAGAGAACCCCACCACCCGCCACGCAGCACAGAACCATACCGCACTGCAGTGCAACAGCACGGCATAGAACCACACAACGCCACGCAGCACAGAACCATACCGCACTGCAGTGCAACAACACGGCAGAGAACCCCACCACCCGCCACGCAGCACAGAACCATACCGCACTGCAGTGCAACAGCACGGCATAGAACCCCACCACCCGCCACGCAGCACAGAACCATACCGCACTGCAGTGCAACAGCACAGCATCGCATAGATACCACAAGGCACCGTGTAGTTTTGAATGTGTATTCATTCATAGTGTCCGTGTGAGCGTTTATATTGTTGATTAATCATGTAATGCATTGCTGTGTCACATGATGTGTTGCTGCATTGGGTTTTATGTTACTTTGTCGCGTAATGTGGCTTTGTGTCACAGTGTATTATTGTTTCCTCTGTTGAATAACTGTTCCACAGTGTGTTGTACGTTATGTTTGATAGCTGTGTCAAAGTGTATTGTTACATCCTGTAGGATAATTATCCAATGCAATGGCACATTATGTATTAAATCATGTGATATGATGTGACATGTCACGTGATGTGACACAATTTGACACGACACTCTAAAACAACGTAACATTGCAGTGCATGCTATGATGCGGCATGTGACACAGTATGGTGTGACATACTGATACGTTCTGTGGCACAGTGAATCAGTATGTTATAAATCAATTAAATCAAACTGCACAATGATTAAATGTCGTATGTTAACACAGACTGTGATGCAACAAACACAGTGGCGGCATATTATGTGACACAATAATACAATATGTAGTTTTATTATTATCGTAAGCTCGTCTTGCCCAGCCAAGAGACAGCCGCTTCATCAGCAGTGCGGAGAGGGAGGGCCCTGGGTCCACTGACGATTCTAGTCAGGGGCCACCCATGGACAATGTATGACATAGTCCGTCGCTGACCCAATCCACAGAGTTGGGTTTTGGTCACGTTGGCTCCTGGTGTGCGGAGGTTGGCTGCTGCTCACGGACCCTGGCCAGTAATGGAACCTATTGAGCAGGGCCCTTGACTGGCGCGGCAGGTTGAAGCAGGAAGACAAAGGGTGGTGGAGTTGGCGATGAGGAATAGGTTTTCAATGTCTTGGGTTGATCATAAAACGAAAAATACACTGTGTGAAACAGTAACGCAACGCAGCAGGACGGTACATTGTGTTACGTGCAACAGTAACGCATTACCTAATAAACATAACAACAGATTTTGTGTGACACAGTAACACAGTACCCAATACCACAGCATCACATTATGTGACACAGTGGTTCACTGCGTGGCACGGCGATACATCTCACGACACCGCGACCACCCCTTTGCGTGCGGTGCTAAACGGGCACGTGTGCGCGTCGCGCAGGACGTACTGGAATGGAAGACGTCACGCACATTCTTCTACTGGCGCCTGCGTCGGCTGCTGCTGGAGAATCAGGCGAGGAAGCGGATCCTGCAGGCGAACCCCGAGCTCAGCGAGGGCCGCGTCGAGTCCATGCTGCGCCGCTGGTTCGTGGAAGCCGAGGGAACCGTCAAGGTGAGGTCCCGGATGCTACCACCGGTAAAACAGGCCGCCACCAGCATCACCGACGCACACTGACACCACCGAGACAATTAGCTTCTGCTCGTGTTACCTACTGTCACCAGCTAAATCAGACACCGCCAATTCAGCTGTCTATCTCCGGCAATACCGGCCATCAATAGCGTTACCGACTGGCACCGCTGGCTCTACCGGCTGAGACTACCGACTGTCACCAGTGTTACTTAATGCCACTGGTGTTACCGGATACCACAAGTGTTTCCGGCTGTCACTTGTTGTCCTGCCTCGAACTGATTTTACTGGCTCTCACCAGTACAACCAGCTGTCACTGACATTTTCAGCTGTCACCAGTAATGTGAGTTGCAATTGGCACTTATGGTGGAAACTGCATTTCACCAGCATTGCTGGCTGCCCCCTGTGTTAATGGCTGGCACCAGCATTGCTGGTGGCTACCTGTTCTACTGGACTAATTTGTGTTCTCTCTTTTTGTCCAGTTTTGTTTGCTCCATGAGTAAAACATTTAAACGTATAGCTTTTTGTCATGATTGTTGTTTGACCATACTTCACCACACTGGTTCGTGCGGTTTGGTCATGGGGGCAGTGTTTGCCGTGGCGTAGAATTAAACTCGGGTCTACGGGTTTATAATGTAGTGCGCGAACCACTGCGCCACTGCTCCACCCCACATATAACGTGAGCGATTTATTTTTATACAATTTGTAAGTCATTTGCATGAATCATGGAGACTCAATTCTCACATGCGTGATGAAATGCCTGCATCACAAGCATTAGAATCGATTTAAAATTGACAAAGCGCTTTACAATTGATGATGTTACATTCCTAGTTAATATATGGCACATACACATACTAAATACCAACGGTGATGTGGATGGAAAATGCTGCAAAATTACTTATTTTTATTTATTTCGTAGAATAACAAAACTCCCAATTTCTATTTTCTGGCGGAAAGGCCACCGTGGAGTCTGTTGAGATGTTTGTATTCAGACCTTTCTTCGCCAATTGGCTGCACAACCCAGTCTTGCACAATCAAATTACAAACAACAATGCAAGAACAAAACCTACAGAGCGTTCACTGATGCACGACAAACACGCTGCGTCTGAGGGCACCTTCACCGGACCACCGCACACGCATACACGCACACACGTACACACGCAGTAAAGTTACACTCATACACACACACGGACTAAACACATATAATCACACTCATACACACATACAAAATACAAATATTCCCCATATATCCTAAACAGACTGTCAGGGCAAGTGATGTTAGTGCGGCCCTATGGGGAAGGCCCAGGACCTGTTTAGATAATCGTCAATGGTGCTGGCTGTGAGCGAGAATCGAACTCGGGCCACCGAGTTCGCAGTTCAGTACTCCCCCTTACGTGCTCACACACACGCTGGAATTGCACTACGTACTCACACACACCCGAGCACTGCACGCTATTGACAAAGCCGTGACCGGAGGAGGAAGAGAAGAGTGCTCCTTGTAGCGTCACGCCATTCGGTGTGGGTAATTATGGAGGAGCCCCCGCTGAGCAGCGATTCCTGCTGTAATTACCCGACTTAATGGGCTTTAACCCCCGTGCCTAACAGCGCATGAGGGCCTGCAGGTACCTGCCTACCCAGGGGGGCGACTACTTTTTCGGGATGCCGCGATAATGGGATATTACGATATATCGTACGACATGAAGGTGCACCATAATCGCATCAGCAGTTTTGCAAAATATCGTTAGTAATTTGTGATATTTATCTTAATTCCTGATAAAAAAATATTCATGAGATAATGAACACTATCTTGCAGAAGTTCATTTAAGTACAGTATTTATATCTATTGTAACTGACAGCCACCTGCGTTAAAATAATTATAGATTTAAAAGTTACAGAGATTAGAAGACTTATGGTAGACTTGTGTTGGGTGAACTGCAGTTGAAGAACTTTAGAGTAATCTTTATTCATAATGTGAGTACATCAAAGCACACAACCAGTAAAATAACAATCTCCGATTATCACGGCTGGCTACATACGATGTGAAAGAAGTTCAATATACATACATGATACAAAATACAATTGTTACGTTGTAGGATATCGCGATAATTGTAATATTTTGACAAGTGATACTATATCATAATATTGAATTATATCTGGGAATCTATCTAATACTACTGGTCACCGTTGGCTTCCCTTAAAATGGTAGTCCTTTTAATAATGTTTATTTAAAAATAGCGTCTCGCAATCGCTGTGGAACCACAGACAAGCTCGAAGGCAACAACCAGGCTGTAAGCCGGTGCTAACAACAGTTACCCAAGCTCTGCAGTTCTCTAGATATATTAAGATGTGTTCAGCCAAGTAATGAGCGTTTATACATAAAGTGGGAGGAAACTGGAGCATACGAAGAAAACCGACGTCTTGTGTGAAGGGGGTCCCAGAGCGATGATATACTGGAATGACCACCGACTAAGATGTTAAACTTACGTCACTGGTTGTGTTCTTGGATCTTTCGGTAAAGTCACGTAGATAGGTTCAAAGAAAATAACAAAAAATAACAAAAAAACTATGACGTTTCAATCCCAACACACGCGGTCGTGAGTCAGGCGCTCTAAACACAATGCCATTTCATTATTTTGCATAAGCAATGTGAGGACACTGAGACATGTGATGCTTGCACACAGAAAATTAATGGCCTTGAATTCTTAAAAAATATGAAATTTATATTACTGCCAAAACGAGGCTGTTAAATACATTTTCTAGCAGATTAAAGTGTTTTGACCGCCAGTTATTGCAATCACAGTTAGAAACATAAAATATGATGTTGTAGCACAGTAATAATAACAGATTTCCCTCGCTGTATGTGGCAGTTGCGTTCCAAAAAATGGTGTACAAAACTGCCAAGTAGCGCATACAGTGCACACAATGGCCCACATCCGACCACATAGCCGCATGTGAGTGAAGCCAAACCGCATGACGTCACAAAATTTGGGTAGAAATAGGTGAGCCGCATATGCGCGAAATTGCGCAAAATGAACCCACATAAAGCGAGGGAAACCTGATTTATAATTGTCCGCCATTGTCTCTCCACTGCTGGATGAAGGCCTCCCCACACTGTCATCATCCATCACAGTCTTGGGTTACCGCGATCTGTCTCACTCCTGCAATTTGGGCTGCTCTCATCGCTCCATATTATCCTCACTGGGCCATCTCGTTCATCACTGGACACCGACAGAGAACCATGGAACAAGTGTGTCAAGAAACGTGAAGAGATGCATGCAAGAGTCATGAGTCGATACACAATGCACAGGCCACAATACACGGGTCTAGAGCCATAGTTCATGGGCCACAATACTTGAGCCACAGACCACAAGCTATTATGATACAAGTCAGGTAGGATGCATGAGCGATGATCATGATACCTAAGCCATGAACCACGATGCATGATGAGCGAGCCATGAAACGCAATCCATGAGCCACAAGGACCGGATCCGTGATCCATAAGCCACGATCCCATGAGCCGTGAGCAATTACTTAGACTCCACAGTACAAAATACACAAGCCGCAACCCAGCCTTTGTGTCCATGTCGCTCACAAGCGCAGTGCAAAGGGCATCATGGCACATATCAACGTGGCGTGGCGTCACTTTGGGTTGAGCTCCTCCTCTTCATCCCTCCCCTCCTGCTTCCTGCTCCCTCCCTCCCTCTCTCTTCTTCTCCTATTGACCCGCCCATACTGCACATCGCTGAAAAAGAGCTTCGTAGCTCATCGGGTTCCACCAGTCATAAATACAGATTATGATTGTGATCTCTGATGTACGGGGTGGCAGGCCTACCTGTGGGACAACAACCAGGCGGTGGTGGAGTGGTTGGAGCGGCAGCTGGCGAAGGAGGAGGAGGGCACGCGCTCAGTCATCGAGGAGAACATCAAGTACATCCAACGCGACTACGTGTTGCAGCAGATACGCAGGCACGTGCATCGTCCGCGTCGGCAGCATAATTCAGCAACAGCATTGCCGTATCCGTCATCTCTCATAGCATCGTCACCTTTGTCATGATCAACAGTGGTAACCACTGCCATATTCATCGTCATCATAATTATTACCAACTACGTTCATCGTCACCGCGATCATTACGTCATTGTCACAACCTGGTTGTCATCATTATTGTTAACATCGTCATATTAATCGTCACCATTAAAATAATCAAAGTTCATCATCATAAACTTCATCATGAAAATCATCATTAGCGTTTTTAAAATAATTATCTTTATTCGTAGGTATGTATGTATGTTGAACTGCTATGTATGTTGAACCGTACGTAGCCACCCGTGCTAATCGGAGGTGTGTCATCCTTATCATCATCACATACCATTGTATATGTCACAACTCATGTCCAAGACCCTTGCGGCATTGTTCAACAACCGTCCGAATTTAACTTCGATTCCACAACTCATCCATGCGCAAGGGATAATGAATCTCAATTGGCTTCGCCCGGTCAAATAAAGAACATTGATTGATTCGACAAAGCTGGCACACGTTGTGACGAGCAACATCGTTGATGTAAAGGTCTCTTTGTTTGCCGCCCCAACCCCCCCCCTACCGGCTCCCCTCTCCTGCCCCCCTTCCCTTACCCCCTCCCTTATTCACCCCGTCTGGAAGCAGCCTGGTGCAGGCTAACCCAGAGGTGGCCATGGACTCAATTGTGCACATGACGCAGCACATCGGAGCGACGCAGAGAACGGAGATCGCACACATTCTCGCCACCATGGAGTCGCCCCCCTCTACCTGACCCCGCCGTGCCCCCCCACACAACAGCCCCAGCTGAATCCCCAATGCCAACACAAACACCGAGGCCGACCTCCAACCGGTGCAACCAGAAGCACGGGACTCGGGGAACTTTGAAGCTTGCCCGATCGCGCAACCGTTGCCCCGCCTTGCACGCCCTCTTCCCTCTCCATCTCCCTAGGTCCTCATCAACCCTGCCGACTGCCTTCTCAACGTCCATCCCGCTCGCCTTGGAACCACCACTTTCCTTTGAGATGTAACTACCGTACACCCCCCCCCACCACCACCACCCTGACTGAGAATCTTCCCGGCGACATCTTTTCTTATTACAAACACTCGCCCGTAGCGCACCAGTGCTGTCTGTATCCTGCCAACCGAAATGCATTCTCTCCATTCTATCGTCCAGCCACATCCACCCACCTGCTACCACCCCCTGTCAATCACCCCATCCCCTTTCCCACGTGAGGACATCAAAACCAAGAACCTGGATTTTCAGGAGATTTGTCTTGTCGATTATGACCAGTGCTGGCGGGGAATTATTTAAAGATTTTAACCGTGACCGTCTCTTCCCTTTGATGTGGAAGGTTTCTATTTTTGAGCCGCTGATATTATTTTATTTTCTCTGAATTGTATTGTTCTCTTGCATACGCCAGCGCCCAGCCTACCTCTCCAAAAACAAGCACCTGAAATTAATTCGCCAGAGCTTAAATTACTATATATAACATTACATTTGCTATGTTGCAAAAAAAAACAATCACAGTGTTTTCATTCCGTATGTGAGAGCAGTGTTGCTGCTGTACAGGGAACAAAAACACAAAAAAGACGGCAGAGTCCTCAGAATCCAGGCTTAAGGTTTTTTTTTTATCCACCCCCCCCCCCCCCCCGACTTGTGTCTGCTGTTTGCACACAGCAGAGCTCAAATCTCATCCATTCCGTGTGGTCGCACAATGGCTTTCTTTACATGGGACAAATCAAATACTTTCTCCCCCCCCTCCCACTGTTTGTTGTGGGAAAACACACGTGGGGTGAATTTGGTATCGGCTCTGGCAATTAAGTGGATCGGTAAATGTCATGATTTGTTTTTTTGCGCAAAGCAACGTGAAGCTGTTGGGAAGCGTTTTATTTTATTTTTGTTCCCGTGTAAACATAGCCACGCAAAAAAAAACTACGTGCAACAATCTACTTAATGAATGGACTGATAAAAAAAAACCTAGCACACGATCTGTGGCGACGTCTCTTTTTATAAGGTTTTTGTAAACATCTGCTCTAGCGTGTAACGATGCATAGATTCATCGATTAATGTTGATTCTTACGCTTGTGTTGCATCATCAATTAGCGTTAAATGAATCGATGGTTGTCGATTTCCGTACTCACAAGTGTTTGGGTTCTTGTGAGACCCGTGCAGCCTCCAGCATCTGGCACGTTCGCCCGCAACGTTGATTCTTACAGTAAATCTTGATTGCGACATTTCATCGAATTACCCTGGTGATGTACGTACGTATGTTGAACTTATTTCGCACCATGCCTAGCCAACCCTGTTATTCGGAGGTGCGATAAAAGGACAACAAACTAAATACAAAAAGGAGTTCTAAAAAATGATGCCGGCTGTGGTGGTTGTGGGTCAGCTGGGTGAATCGTTACACTCCTTATCTACCCGTTTGAGCTTAAACCGCGTCGTGGCGTTTCGACGTGGAGTGGTAATCGTCGCCCCGTTCTCAACAACCCACCCCTGGCATGACACGGGGTCTGGGCACACATCATCGGTGCTTGAGCTGCTGAAACGCCGGAGCCAGATGTCTCGGCCGATTTATCGCCTTCGCCCACACAAAGCAGTGGTAGACAAATCAGTGTTGGCGGGGGGAAGCGTCGTGATATTTTTTCGTTTGACAAAGTTTAAACGCGAATTCTGTAAGCGCACAAGTGAATGGTTACTACTCACGAGTTTTTACTTTCTTCGATGATCCTTGACCGTGAAGAAATAATTCACGCGGAGTTTTGAGTGATCGCACGGCTCATTGTTAATTTGGACATTGGTGCTTCTGCCATCATTTGAGACTTGTCGGATTACCTGAATCGTGGTTTCAAAATTTTCCATCGAAATGAAGAATAAAAAAGCAAGCATAACAAGCGTAAAGTAAAATATGAAGCATTCTTAACAAACACCAAAGACCATGAACTGGGCAGCAAAATAAAAACCTAACAAGGTACAACCTAATACTGTGCTCTGAACACCACTTGCAGTAACCAACATTCCTGGTCTGGGCAGGCAGCCGAGTGCTTGTTTTATCTTCCTTGTGTTCAATACTGTCTTGCGTCCTTGGGCTGCCTTGTGTTAAAGACTGTCTTGTATTCAAGACTGTTTTACATTCAGAGTAGGCTTACTTTAAAGGCTGTCTTGTGTTCAAAGGACGGTCTTAGATTCAAAGTAGTCTTGGATTGAGGGCTGCCTTGTGTTCAGGTTTCTCATCTTCAGGGCCTCTCGCGTTCGATGCTAGCGCAGCTAACGTTCTCCGCTAGTTGGTGAGCTATCTAGCAAGCGTGTGCCCTCGGCGCTGCCTCCTTTCTCTCGGTGGGCCGCTTGGTTGATCCGGCTTGGCCACGGCGTTTCCATTTGGCATCGAGTCCGAATGCCCCCGCACTAAGCGTGCCACGATGCCAGCCTCGCCTCGCCTCGCCTCGGCTCGGCTCCGCCCTCGGATCTCGAGGCTGGAGTGTGGTATGGTGCGGGGGCTTGATGATTTTCTTCAGAATATGATTCGCTAAAACAGCGTTGATTCTGCGTGTGATCGTTAAATTTGCTGGTGGGGTCGATCCGGCTTGAAGCGCTCATCCGGCTTGCAGCGTTGATTCAGCTTGAAGCGTCAATCAAATTTGGAGCGCTAATCCGGCTTGAAGCGTTGATTCGACTTGAAGCATTAATCCAATTTTGAGCGCTAATCTGGCTTGAAGCGTTGATTCGACTTGAAGCATTAATCAAATTTGGAGCGCTAATCCGGCTTGAAGCGTTGATTCGACTTGAAGCATTAATCCAATTTTGAGCGCTAATCTGGCTTGAAGCGTTGATTCCGTTTGGAACGTTGATCCGGCTTGAAGCGTTGATTCGGTTCGAAGCGTTAATCCGGCTCATAACATCGATCCAGCTTGTATCGCGGTGCCTCTGCCGTGTTTATTTTTGCGGGGGGGGGGGGGTTCTGGGGGAGAGCGGGTCGTGTGGCAGTCTCAGTCTTTCGATGCCGTGCTCCCAATCCCTGTGACCCAGGTTCAACTTCAATCTGGTTTACCAAAACCCGCCGAGCGTCTACGCACATAGGTCTGCTCGGCCTGGAATGAGAACCTGGTGAGGGCCTCCCTCCACACACCCCCCCCCACCCCATAGGTCAATATATCAACTGGGTTCTATCGCAGGAGCTGTGAATGCTGCCGAGGAAAGGAGAGATGACGGCTCTGGTGGTGCTGGTCACGTGCCCCTCTCCAACATTAGACACGTCCCCCCCACCCTCCCCCCCCTCCCCCGCTATCAGTAAATGTGCATTGATTTGAGTTCATTCGTACGCAGACAACATGTGCGTCAAACCATGCGCGTTGAGAATCGGTTGATGGTTGATTTGTGCAGATGTAATGCAAATATTTCCAACAGTCTTGACGGACGAACGAGATGAGACAAACGAGACGGACAGCAAATGAGACGGGACAATTGCGTTGATACAGACTGGACGAGATGGTACAAACAAGACGGAAAATTTGGACGGTATAAATCAGACAATACAAACAAGACAACAATAACAAAAAAATCGACCCCTGCTTTAAATCAAGACACTTTTATAGAAGTAATGGGTGCGTGGAGAGTGAATTGTTAGATGCCTAAACTTTCAATGTCTGCCCTCATGGTGCTTATGACCACCGTTATCAGGGTACTTTGTCAACGTTGTCAACTACAAACGACGACAAAAAAAACATTGCGAAAGTGTCAACGAGACGTGATGTCGTGGTTTGAAACGGACCCTGTGAAGCGAGCGACGGTTATGGCCACAAGAAGATGGGGTGATGTGTTCCCTTTGGTTTATTGCTACACAGAGGGGGTTGTATCATGGTCAGCTCTAAGCATTACTGTATGATGAGGTTGACGATCAGGAGGTTGATGGAGAGGCTAACAGTGACGAGAAAGAATGGACCGAGTAAACCCCCCAGAAGTTTCAACACGTGTGTTTTTTTTTGGTGTTGCCACGAGCAGGTGACAATAACATTTCAACCGAATGGGTCAGATTCACGTGTTGTAGGAGGTAGCATCTTCTGCTGATTTGAGATGCAAAAGACAGGCAGATTCGTGGAAATAAATTGGATGCAAATTTTACCTGCAAAAGCAACCAAATTAACATCAAATTGTGAACATTTTCGTACATTTTTTTCTACCCCAAGTATTGGTTTAAACTGCCTTTCCACCATCGCGTGAATTTGTCCCACTGCATATTTTCCTGGCTCAGAGGAACACAGAAACACCATTCCATGGCACAGGTTTTTCCACCACCATATACCTCCACCATAAACTCGTAAATCACGGGGGTTCTGGTTATGAGCACTTATTGATAAAGCGTCTTAATGCGAGGGGCGGGGAGTTGATAAAAAAAAAAAACTTTACTGTTTCACTTAAATCAGCGCACAAGTTTGTCCTTGGGGGTTACTTTTTTAAAAGTTGTTTTTGAAAACCCACGGATTACTATTTGCATTGCAGAGATCAGTTGCTCGTACTTTATTCGTATAACTGTATTCGTGTGTTTGTCGTGCGGAAATTGCGGTTCACGCCATGAGAACGGTGGACGTTCCACCCCTCGCTCACGGAAGGTGAGCGTCGCTGAATGGTCGGTTGAGCGGAGGAGACGCCTCGGCTGTGCGCGCGTTGAGATTACTCGCTGTGTTGTGCTACGCTGCTTTCAGTTGCCACTTTTGAGCAACGTCTTTACAAATTGTCGTCCTTGTCAGCAGACGTGGAAATACAGACGAAAGTAATACAGGAGAATTCCAAGTGTCCGGGACGTTCTGTTTTATCATTTGAGATAACGTCGCTCGCCATATTCACCTCCTTGACGAAAAAACCGAAACGTATGACCATCGCCTTGGTGGATTTGCCCGCCCGTTGTTGGACGACGGTGACTTGGGCGCATTGTCCACGAACGAGCGAGGTCGGTTGAGGGAGAGAACCCAGCCATGGCGAGGGTAATTTCAGCGAGCAGATCATTACTAATGGGGAAAATAATCACGTACGTGTGAGGGCTGGACTCTTTAACCGCTCTACGTAAATAGTGTGACACATAATCTATCGTCAAATGCCTCCGACCAAATCACCCTGAATGTGCTCAATGTCGTCAGGCCTCCGAAGCTGGGCAGAGGCAGAGATTTGAGCCCTAGTAGCACTTAGATGGGTGACCACCAGGGCTTGCCGTGTGTTGTAGGTGCAGAGCTGTTAGATGCTGCCAGAAGATGGCAGTGGTGAGCGTCACCCCCCTCGTGTTACGCCTGGTGGGTTGACTCCGAGCTCATTTGGTTCCTTCCATATGAAAGGCAAAATAATTGGCTAAACATCCCAATATAGCAATAGAACCCTCGGTGGAAAAGAGGCTGGAGACTCGGTGAGGCTTTTCCTGGCTCAACAAATGGAATAATTAAAATAAAAAAGTGGCAAAAATAATTCGGGGTCTGCGTTGGCAGCGGTGCACACCAGCACACCTGGACAACAACTGCCGGATTAACTGTGACAGAAATGACGAGCTTCATTTGATCTATCTGCCAAATTCAGCTTCTTCCAACGCGTCCCAGTGGTATCTTTTTTATTTAGCCGAAGAAAAAAATTATGCCGGGTTCTACTTCACTAAACTCATCAGCAAGGTGTGGCCCCATAACCCAGTTGCCACTGGGTGCGTTGGTTTATTGGGCAGGTAGAGCCACCCGCAAGCAACATTGGGCCCAAAGAAATAGGTCGCAGCAGTAAAGCAGCAACATTACTGAAGGCACCCGTGAAGGCACGGGGAATCTAAGATTTGATTGCGGTGGCTGTATGGTGTGTGCCCCCTGCCCCGTCCACCGCCCACCATGTCTCGTGTTTGCCTTTATCGTCATGATCATAGATAGACAAGTTAAGGATGTAACGATTACATATAAGGGTATAACTATTTAACGGTTCGATTAATTGTCACGGTTCGACGGATGCTGTTCGATTCTTCAGTTGATTACTGTGTTGTTATTGTTTGCCCTTGACGTGCACGTGGAATCTGTTGCGGTACGATAATTTGGAATTGTTGATATTTAAACCGTGCACTGTTTGATACGTGCATGTCTCAGCGAAGCAGAGTGAGAATTTAAATTGATGCCGGTGCTCACGATTTTAATTGATTAATCGTTACATCCCTAATACAAAAGGAAACGATTTTGTTGTGACCCACCTCACTTGCAAACACGTAGAGCTACCCTTCCTTAATACAGACCGTTCTCCTATAACGCGGTAGTATATAATATAGGGTCAATCACAGTGAGATGCGTATGCAGGCTCAACAAAGACTGAGGCGCATTGTCGCATCTAAAAATATCCAGCAGCATCCCGCCTTGTTATAGGAGAACAGACTGTACCTGCGTACACGTCTTGCCTACCTAGCTACCCACATGCCTACGTGTCTGCCGTGAGTCTACCTACCCACGTGTCTACTCGTCTCTAATCGTCTAACACGTCTCTATCTGTCTACCTGCCTACCGACCCATGTACCTGAGGCGTTGGTTGCAGTGGAATAGGGTTAGAGGTTCGGCTTAGGGTTATGTTGATGCAATGAGGCTCTAAACATACTAACCAAACAGACACTATGCCAACCAAATCCTAACCGCTAACCTAACCCCAGATCCACCATAGCCATCCAACTTCTTAATACTTAGATTCCATGCTTTGTTTGAGCACGCCGTCACGATTGCTATGACTACTATCAATAGGTTTATGCTTTCGGGACTGCGACAAAAACATGTATTATTAGTTGTATTGTTATGAATGATTTCAAATTCCATTGACAAAAAAAATCTGACGCCTGCGGGACATACGCTGAGATCATTGCTTGCCATTTTTGAACTCGTATAGCTTATTATTTATACATGTCATCATTTTTTCTGTAGTATTATTATATTATTATTGGTATTGTTTATCCATATGCCCAAGGGGAGTGAGAGAGGGGATGAAAGGTGGATTATCGTGTCTTCTTTTCAACACCCTCCCCCCACCCCGGACGCAGCTGCAAAGATTCGGTTTGATTCCAAAACCGGTTCTGCTGATCCGTCGGTAAATCACTTGTGTGCATTTGAATTCGCATCATCATCATCATCACAATCATCATCATTGTCGTCACCCAGCATCCCCTCGGGTACGGCGAGGCGAGTCAATCAGAATCTGCGATAGAGGAGTATGAAATCTACTTGTACGATTATCGTGCATGGTAGGTACATTTTAAATATCAATAATGATTTAAACGGATATATGGGCTCGGAAGGGGAGCAGAAAACAGATAGAGAGGGAGCTGTGATTGTTTGAATGCGGGTCATTTGTCGGACGGGGAGGTTAATACGTGGTGATCCTATCCATTCTGATTCTCACAATGAAGTCGCTTCAAAAGGTTTTCGAATCACTCCCCCTCTCCTTTGAGCTGAAATCAACACGTTTATGAATAGCGTCGTCTCTGTTATGTGTCCCTCTCCCCACCCACCTCTCTACCCACTTCTCTCTACCCACACACAAGATACAAAGGTCCGCCTATGTCCATTAACAGGCTATTGCGCCAAGTGTTGTTAGCGAGCATCTATTAAGGCCGGAAGAGGCACAAGAGGGGTTGGTGGTATGGCCAATCACCACGCCAGGCGCCCTTTTTCTTCCCAGTGTCGATGTTTTCACACACCGCACTAAGTGCTTATTTTAGGCTGAGTCGACCTAGGGGAGGCCCAGGACCGGTTGAGATAATCATCCCTTGTGTTGGCCGTGAGCAAGAACCGAACTCGGGTCGCAGCGCTCCCCCATACACACGCGCTGGCAGTGCACAACGCGCTAACCGCTACACTACCACTTACACGCGTACACTCACGCTCGTGCACCCACATGTAACTACTAGACACAAACAGGCGGGCACCTATTGAATCCTTGCCTGTGTGCCCTCCCTGTCGAGCTAATTCTTGCATGGGGGTGAGGAGTGCTTGTTTGCTGGTGGTGGTCGTGAGCGATTGGCACGTGGTTCGAAGTGCTTGTAGAGAGCCGGGTGGAGAGGAGTCGCTGTCGTGTTTGACAGCTGTGAACGGATACCCCATGCAAGGTGCGGCGTGTTGCCATTGGATTGCATCAAGTTTGCTCTGCTATGTGTTGCATTGCGTTTCTCTGTGTTACATTGGATTGCAACGGATTCCCCTGATGCATTGAGTTAAATCTGTGGTGCGTTAAATATTCCCCTCTCCCCCACTTCGTCAGCAAAAAGTTGTGCGCACGTGACGCTGTAAACCCCAGTACTGAAGTGTACATGCTTTGTAAAATGGAATAGGGGCTGGTAGGTTACGTAGTAGACCTAACCATACTTGTATCCCTAACCATACTAGCCATCCAGATACTGCCTCTAACTATAACTGACCAACCACACTAGCCAACCTGACCCTAGCCCTACTACTTCCAATCACACTAACACACCAGGCCCAACCCTTCTTGTAGGTCTGAACCACATCGTCCAATAACGCTTTAACAATAACTCTAGTCACGTTGTATGTCCATATATCCTCTTAACACCCTTTCCATAACCCCGAAACAGAGCCGGCCAATTGGATGCTGTCTCTTTACCACCTTAATCCTCGTCACTGTTCACTGTTTACAGCGACGTGCGCAAGCACACGCGTGGCTCGTGATGAGATTCGTCAATAGCGGTGCGACCTGTGCACAAGTGCAGTGTAAAGAGCATTACGCACACACACACGGGCACGTGCTCACACACACTATAGATGCATTACCCCTTCATTATGTACCTAGCCCGTACAGCACCATGGTCGCGAATGATGTTCACTCTTTCTGCGTCCGTTCACACTGGAGAGAGAGAGAGTTGTGGAACAGATTGTCTCCATTGTGTTGATGTGATGTAAATTGCACGACGTATGTGTGATTTACATATACATTTTGGGTCCTGTATTGGATGGGTCAGCGGTTCTCTCTATCAAATGAGACGAGGGTTCTTCATCAGACGTTATGTATTGAATAAAACGAGAGTTATAAGTGTGGTGCTTTATCAGATGACAACAATGGTTCTGTATCGAAGGGGTCAGCTGTTCTTAAGTTGCATGAGGGCATGGTTCTGTATCTGAGGTTCTGTTTCGGATGATACAAGAGTTCTGCAGTTATGGTTCTTGATCATATGAGATAATGGTTCTTGTGTATCAGATTGTATGACTATTCTTTATCGGATGAGATGGAGCTTCTCGTGTATTGGTTGAGAGGATTATTCTGTAACACATGAGACGAGTGTTGTATATCCTACGTGTCAATGAGTGTCTCTAGATGAGTCACAGCATTAAAAAAAATTCAGTCATCTTGTATACAATGAAACATCGAGTCATTGTATACTCAGTTAACACTACAAACGTCGACTTGGATCGACAGATCTGTCCATCACACGTGCGTTGTACGGATGCCGAAGGGTTCCGCGGTGGCGAGATGTTAACTACTTCGCCTGTGGTGCAGAAGGTCGTGGGATCGGTCCCGACCCTGACGCCTGTATATTTGGAGTTTGCATGTTCTTTCAGTGGTCACGTGGGGTTTTCTCCGGGTCTTCCGGTTTTTCCCTCCACACTTGGAAACATGCGTTTAGAGTATTTGGGTGCTTAAAATTTCTACATGATTAGCCACTTAGTTGAGATATCATTTGTGGCCAGCTCGCTTCGAAAAAAGAGCTATTTAGCGAAGTGGGCCTTACCTGGTAAAATAAAAAAAATAGCTTCGTAATAGTTAAAATGCGAAAGGATTAGACATTTCCCCATGCCCCTTTTCGAGAAGCTTTCTTATACTTGCGTCGACGTATTTTCTACGTCAACACGAAAATAAAACCGGCTCCTCGGGAGGACGAAGAACATTCATTCACCACCTTAAGTCGACGTAAATCTTGCTCGAGTAAAAAAAAGGCATCGCTGTTTTCCCCACTCGTCCGTGATTACTCTCACAACCGGGTCGATGCAACATTTTGACAAAGCAGCAACAATAGCACGTGGTCGGTGACAGTTAATCATGCAGGGCTTCCCAAACTCAATGTCCTCGCGACCCACCACCACGCAAAGTCGTTCCGCGTTGACAAATTCACTCCCCCATTAAAAAAAGAAATTAACTCGTCCCACTCTGCACGCGCCCGATGATTGTTAAACACGTCCCATGTGACGCGCTAAGCAATTAACGCTGTCTGTGTTCATATATCTGATCCAAATTACGTTTGCGGCATGTGTACACGTGATCCGCGTGTGGACACGTGATCCGCGTGATGCAGGCAGCGTGATTTGCGTTAGCGCGCGTCGCTGGGGAACGTGTTTAACAAACATCGGGTGCGTGCAGTTATTGAACGAGTTAATTTGAATGAGGGGTGGGGTGGGGGGAATCATTTGGTAAACGCGGAAAGACGTATCGTGGTGGTGTTGTTGTAGGACTGGAGTTTGGGAAACGCTGGGTGAATGTGATAGTTGGCAATCGCGCGTTGCTATACCGACAACTGCAGGCACTTATGACGTTAGTTGTCGCGTCTTGGCTCCGTCTCTTCTGCTCTCTTCGCTTGCCAGCTGCCTTCTTTTTGTTGGACACGTGACACTTATTCAACTAAACGCAATGCTTTGAAAATCAATTGTACGGATAAAAGAGAATTCTACCTTTGAGGAAAAAAAACCTGTTCCTATTGAAGTTAACTTGTGTATTCATCAGTGTCGCAAGCTTGACTTGTGGAATAAATTAATGTAGGATCACGGTCAACAAAGGTCACAAGGAGAAATATTGTATCTGTCTTAAGTGGAGAGAGATTATGGGAGCAGTGGCGCAGTGGTTAGTGCGCTCCTCAAACGAAACCTGGCTTTTGCAATTTGATATCGCAGCAGAGGCTAACATCAGTGGCGCAGTGCTATCCGAACTGGTCTTGGGCCATTCCCAGGAGAAACTCGAACTAACCGGGTCGAGTACTTTATTTGTTCTCTTAAGGGTGCCGTGTAGAATCTGTAGCAAATGAAAACGATAAATTTGCAGCCCTAAAATAAACGATGCACCCTTCTAACACGACGGAAGGGTCCGCACCAGAGGGAACTCGACTAGACAGGTTGTGTGTGTGTGTTGGCCTACTCTTACACACTGGTCATCCGTCTTATGATGTAGTATCTGTGTGATAAAAAAAAAACTTAACGTGCACAAATGATCACTACTTGATTCTTACCCGCACAATTCGATGCACGCATCTATGAGCGATACCCACGATTTCAACTCAATGTGCACATTCGCTAAGCCCAGTGTGTGTGTGTACGCGCGTCATGTATACGCTGTAGTAAAAAACAAAACACTGCAGCCAACCAGTGATGTTTGAATCTCGTGGGACACGGTGGTTATCGGGCGCGTTTAGCTAATGGCCACGCACGTCATCATCATCATCCTCAAATATGGGCATTGAATTGGGACAACCATGTGGTCTTTCCAAAGTCCAGTCTTGGTGATCATCTCTACGTTCATCGGTCTGCGTTCAAATTGCAATTAAGGCCGTTGCACTCTGCACACGTCTGATGAGTGCTAAATCCCTGCCATATGATCTAGTGCGCGCGGATTCAAACTCAAGAGCGATCTGTACGTTACTACGTCACGTGGGACGCACACAAAGATCTTTACTTTAGCCTTAACAGACTCTTGTTGCTGTGCTGTCAAACAGCACTTGCCCACCACACGTACACACACACACGTGCTGCATCTTGATTTAAGTAGGTAGCTCTACGTCACTTCAAACTCATGCATACATAATTGGCTGCGGCAGTATTTCTCCAAACGAGCAGCGAGCGGTTCCCCACTTCATACGGTGCTGTCATTTGCGACTGAGCACAAGCGGAGAGCGAGAGGCGCGGCGTGTAGTGTCCATTTAGACGTGGCCGCTTTGAGGGTCTTCGCGCTCACGAGGCCAGGCTGGAGGCCAGGGGAAGGGAGGGGAAGTTGGTGGCTTTCTGGATTCCCCCCTCCCCCCGCAGTAAACTGCCGCGAGTTTTGCATGACAATCTGAAGACATTGCGGCTGTGAATTGTGGACGTCAATGAATCTGTGCAAAACGCGAAGTGCAAGACACGACGTGCCAGACGACTGTGAAAGTCCCGGTGTGTGGTGACGTGGATTTTGCCTGTTTTCTCTATCAATTCAAACTATCAAGAGATAGTAGGGGGCTGGGGGGATTTCGGGGGGGGGGGGGGGGGGGGGGGGGGGGGGGGGGGGGCGGGGGGGTGATCCCCTTTGCTAAATTGTGGCAGGGAAATTGAGTGGTTGATGAAATGTGATAATAAGAAAGTTAGGCTTTGACATGCTGAAGTATTGGAAAGGGTAGAGTTCAAAGTTGCAGCCCTGAATGTCTTGCTCGCACCAACTGCTGAGTGGAAGAGCCTCCAATAGAGGAATCTCTGTCTAGAGAACCCGTGTCAGAAGATACTTTGACCGATTCTTCCACGCAGGTCAGGCGTCTTTGAAGAGGAATAATTTTTAAGCGCCGTATAAACTGAAATGCTTACCAACTCGGGCAGTGGTGGAAGAATGGCTAGCTGTGCTATGGAACCCGGCGACCCAAGTTAGTGTTAAGCCACGGCAACATCAGTGGCGAGTGATGTCTTGGCTGCTCCTGGACCCGCCACCCTTTACCAACGCGCGCTGTAACCAGCGTGGTGAATACTCTTAGGTTATTTCGGTAAAGTCACGTAGGTATAAAATAAATTAAATCACGTTACCATACATAGCAGGTGTTACCAAAAAGTTTTCCAAAATCTTAAACAAACACAAGATCCAGGTCCGATTCAGTACAGTACACAAAATCCGTGATCTAATCCCATTTGTGAAGGATGTCATTCCTGGCATGCAATATCCTGGAGTCTACAAACTAAGTTGCACCTGTGGTGGGTGTTACAGTGGGGAAACTAAACGACATATCTCGGACCGTGTTCGCGAGCACAAGTCAGATCTGAAACAGGCAGAACTAATAGCTCCGCCGTGGCTGACCATTGCTATAACGCTGTGGGCTCGCATGACATTGTTTTTTTTCGGAGACCAAGGTACTCTGCAAACCTTCGGGCTACTATCAAAGGTTTGTTCATGAAGCCATCCAGATGTATAAACATAGACATAACTTCAAATGAGAAGATGGATACAAATTGAGCAATCATTGGAAGGATGTTATTAACCAGGTAAAACCTTAACTGCTTTATGGTGTTGCCTTCATATCCGCATCCCCAGCCTTCTTCAGCCTCCCACTCCCAGCCCCGCTCACCCCCCCCCCCCCCCCGGCATTTTGCCTTGCTCTTAATCCCTCGAGCAGCGCTCCACTTCCCCTACCCCACACCCGCCTCTCTATCTCTCCTCCCTTGCTCCTCAACCCCTCTCTTACCTATATAGGCTATTGTCACGGCAGCCCTTTTGCCCACGTCAGCAATTGTTTCTTGCTGTGGTTGTCCCACCTGATGACGGACGCTTGTGTTGCGCCCGAAACGTCGTGATTTAATTTATTTTATTTTCTACTTACGTGACTTACCGAAAGAACCAAAGAGTATGGATCCCTGCAGTCACGAAAACTTCAAATCCAGCGTGGTGAAGTATGGTCAAACAATCTCGACTGACGTGGGAAGGTGGGAGTGGGGGGCGGGTGACTGGTGACAGACGGACAGTACATTCTAAATTGTGTTACGTTATTAAATGTAACATCAACTACTGGGGATAAATAGAGAATATGTTTTTTTTTGTATTACACAAATGAAATATTTAGTCTTGTATTGATTTATCTCACATACGCTCTGTATACATCTTAGATTACATGTTTCTAACCACATCCCAAAGTAAACTTCGCACAATCCACTGCCATTTTGTTAAAAAATGATCTTGCACATGGCTACTGCACACAGCATACAGGTTTGTGTTTTTTAATCTCTGCGTATAGTTTTGGAAAACTTACAATTTTAAACGCTTTGTTTTTCTGCATGCATGGGCTTATTCACATTGACGGGAATTAGATTGACCTAAATGCATTAACGAGAATCTCTTTGATTGAAACCACCATATGGTAAGGTTAAGTCGACCTAAACGTGTCGAATTAACGTTTCCTCTTTCGAGACGTTAATTAGTTTTCGTCTCGACTTAATAAAAATGTAACCTTTTCAACAAACTAAACTTTGTATTTTACCAGGTAAGGCCTACTGAGCCATATCGCCCCTTTTCAGAAGCGACCTGGCCACAAATTATTGCCAAATTAAGTGGCTTATCGAGTGGAAATGTATAGCAGCTAAATATTCTTAACGCATATTTCTAAATGTGGAGGGGAAAAAGCCGGAGGACCCGCAGAAAAATGCAAGTGATCTTGGGGAGAACATGCAAACTATAAATATGCAGGCGTTCGGGTCGGGATGGAACCCACGACCTCCTGTATACCGGGCGAGGTAGTTTAACATCTCGCCACCGTGGCGACATATTACCCGTGTGTACGCCGCCGCGGGGAGGGGAGTCGAGTGAAGGATGTAATTTATGGAAAAATAAAGGATCGGAAAAGGGATACCGGGACGGAAGTATCCCAAGATGGACGAGGGGAGGGCACGGCTCAAGATTAGCAGCAGGAAGGAATGAGGTGTGCCGGAGAAGGAATTACCAGGCTAATATCTCGGGGGTGAGAGGGTGATGATCAGTGAGAAGGGAAAGCGCAATTCGACGTTAAGCTGCACGGAGCAGAGTCTGTTTTCACACGGGGCAGGCAGAGAGGAGGAATTCAGAGTGGGAGTAGCCACATAAGTCACGTGACTTACGAACTGCTGGACTTGGGAAAATCCCTCCAAACATTGATTTCCCAAACTTTACATTCACTATTGCTCAATGCGAGCAATGTACAAACTCCATGTATCTATTACAACTTTGACAGTGCTGTTTGTCACTGGCCGCCTAACATTTTTT